AGGAGAGATTAAAAAAAAGGATTCAAAAAATTCAGAGATTAAAAAAAAAAAAAAAAGCTCCAGCTGGAGCTTTCCAGCTTCAAAAGAAGGGATCTAAAAATCCCAAATCTGGAATCTTGTGTCTCACTGGAAAGCTGTGTAAAATAAAGATATGGTTCTGAGAGAGAGCGGGACTTTCCCTCCCAGGAAAATCAAGTTTGATTTCCCCTCCCAGAAAAAATCAGTTTGATTTTATCCCCCAGAAAAAAATCAGTGGGATTTCCCCTCTCAGGAAAAATCAAGTTTGATTTCCCCTCTCAGGAAAAATCAAGTTTGATTTCCCCTCTCAGGAAAAATCAAGTTTGATTTCCCCTCTCAGGAAGACCTTCACCCCCCAGGAAAATCAGTTTGATTTCCCCTCCAAGGCAAATCAGTTTGATTTCCCCTCCCGGAAAAATCACTTTGATTTCCCCTCTTGGAAAAATCAGTTTGATTTCCCCTCCCAGAAAAAATCAGTTTGATTTCATCCCCCAGAAAAAATCAGTGGGATTTCCTCTCCCAGGAAAATCTTCACCTCTCAGGAAAATCAGTTTGATTTCCCCTTCTAGAAAAAAATCAGTTTGATTTCAGCCCCCCAGAAAAATCAGTTTGATTTCCCCTCTTGGAAAAATCAGTTTGATTTCCCCTCCCAGAAAAATCACTTTGATTTCCCCTCCCAGAAAAATCACTTTGATTTCCCCTCCAATGAAAATCAGTTTGATTTCAGCCCCCCAGGAAAATCTTCACTGCCCAGAAAAATCAGTTTGATTTCCCCTCCCAGAAAAAATCAGTTTGATTTCCCCTCTTGGAAAAATCAGTTTGCTTTTACCTCCCAGAAAAATCAGTGGGATTTCCCCTCCCAGAAAACCAGCTGGAGCTGAAAATCCCTGCCCAGCTCTTGCAAGCCAAGCCCAACCCCGAGCAGTGCCCTCCTTACCCCAGTTGGTCTCGGTGGGATCGGTGGGATCCGGGCAGATGGAGGGACCTTCCCCAGGTCTGGGTGGGGAGGAGATCCCAGCAGTGGAGCTCCTGTTCTCCCTGTTCTCCCTGGGGGAAGGGCTCGGGACACTCCAGGCAGGGCTTGGAGTCCCAGGGACCTCTGGCAGGGGGACGGGGCTGCTGCAAACAGCATCCTGGGCCTCTGTCCCTGCTCTCAGGGTGCTTTTCCCAAGGCTGCTGCAGCTGGGAAAAAGAAATACTCAGTAAAAATAGCAAATAAAAATACCAAATAAAAATACCAAAAATCAGAGGGAATTTTCAAGCATTTGCTGCAATGGCTTTCTGAATTATATCCACCACTATCCTTGTCTGAGCAGCACAAACTCAGGGTTTAGCTCTTCCAGAGTGCACAGAGATGTGGAGAACAACTGAGATGTTTAAGAACAGCTAAATCAAAGTTATTACTGGAAAAACAATCCTGCTGGGGTTTTCTGACAGGTAACAGCCCTGCATTTGGCCAAGGAACCTTCTGGACACAAACAAAGCATCCTGGGCCTCTGTCCCTGCTCAAAGGGTGCTTTTCCCAAGGCTGCTGCAGCTGGGAAAAAGAAATACTCAGTAAAAA